CATTGTGCGGACAAATTTTGACAGTCAAATTCAATTTGTATCCAATTTCATTGCTTATTATCGTGACCTTGCAACTGGTCTCAAAGTAACAAAGCGACGCCTTCTACTTATAATTTCAAAGTTATTTCTACCTATATGTATTATTTGCTTGTGATTTTAGAATTACCAAGTTCTGTAAGCACATGGGTTATCTTAGACTAAACAAATAGTAGACCGCTCTAAACTGTGACACGAAATGAAATGTTTTAAATATAATTTTTTTTGGATATTATTTTTTTTTTTACTGTGATTCATACTTTTTCCTTCTAAATATCGGCTATAAGAATCTTCAAAATCATGCAGGTATAATGTCAGTAGTTCGCAACAAGAGAGACTTTCATAAGATTAAATGATTTTCAGATCCTTTTTTTTTAAATTTAAGTATTCAATTGCATATTTCATTATAATTACAATATAAATTCTTTGAGATAAGATATTAAATTTAGTGTAACGAAAATTACAATATAAATATTAACTTAATAGTAGTTAGAATAACTAAAAATAAACTATAATTCATTTATTTTAAAATGTTTTTTTTTCTCCATATAACATAAAAGTAAACTATCCCTAATTGCTTATAAATCTCCCCTTAATATAAGTAATCTCCCCTTAGTATAAGAAATCTTTCCCATAGTGTAAGTAGTCTCCCCCTAGCGTTAGTTGCCTAAGTAGAACATGTTTAACCGGTGCCCGTTGGTTGTCCATTATCCTCTCAGGCCGGCGGCGACCCGGACAACATGCCGGTGTCGGATCTACGACGTAGACTGAGGAGGACACTGGCCAAGTCCAAGAACAACCCGGACTACTTCAGAGAGTAGAGCCGTACACACTGTGACCAGCCACAGACATGGGAGGGTAGGTCTAGCCCCCTCCCCCAGCAAACCTTTTGTTCTTTATCGATGTTCTTCGTCACATGCCCTTTAGCCCCCAATCCACCTATCCCCCACCCCTGTACCACGAGTCTGTCATCTAACTATTATGTATTGTTACTTCTTTCCTCACAAGGGCCTACTCTTCACGCATACTTTTTTGTATCATCTCCCTTTCTTTAATGTTATTTTCAATTGTGTGTTGGATGTGACGATTGAATTAATCGAAAAAAAAACAACATAGAATTGATGCACGTACATTGGCACAGATATACTCTAGTGCTATGATCATTTACGGAGAAATATTGAAGCTACAGTTATCTGGTGTAAATTAATCATCTATGTGCAACAAACCTCTTAGAATGCTTGTATGCGATGGACAACACAGAACAAAAATATAAAAAAAGGTTAGAAAAAAATTCATTAAAAAGTTTGCTATATTCAAGGAATATTTATGTTCAATGAAAGAAAACGGTTTAATATAACACGTAGAATAGGTGCTGTAAAAAGTCCTCTTTAAGGAAGCGCAATGTTCTCATCTTGAAGGAAGCTAGCATGCCACTAATTGTCGCTTTGGTTTCTATGTCCCTTCCCATCCTGCTTTCGCTATGACGTCACTGAGCTTGTCACGAAGGTGACACTTTGAAACGTACAACTGGAACATTTATTTTTGGCGCTTTTCTGCTTTAACACCGTGACATAACTCTCAATGTCAGCAGCTTCAAACTAATGGGGCAATATTTGTTTCTTTAAGAATGACTCCTGCCGCAATTAACATGTTAACATCGAGTTCTTTGCTTCAAATCACAAACAGATTTGAACTTTAAAAACAAAATAAAATCAGCGGATTCTTTTGTTTTTTTAAATGAATATTGTTTACATTCCTTTTTTCTTGTCCTTTACAAGGGGTAAAGTGAAAGAGAGAGAGAGAAAGAGAAAGAGAGATAGAGAGAGAGAGGAGACATTTCAAAGCTTGAAATCAATAAAACAAAATATATTGTGGAAAAAAATGAACAATTGTTAGGTCATCTGTGTTGTTATAAATGTCAATTGAAATAAACTGCAATACTGTACGCAAGACGATATAACATCAACGTACATCGATTCGGGCCAGTTTTGCTAGCCTGAAGTGCTACAACTTTATTCAGTGCTGGCCTATAACGAGCTCGTGTGATGACGTTAATATCAATACACAAAAAATTCCTCCATATTGGTGCAATGTATTGGTAAAGAACTTTAGTTGTTAGGACATAAGTATTATTAATTGTGTATGTATGTATTCCTATTGTGATCAGTGTGTGTATTATTATCTGGTTAGTTTTAAAGTAAGTACATAAATGTATCTAGTTATTGTCTTTTGTGTACCAGTACTTGTTCAACTTGTAATGCCATCAAACAATTAAATATGTTACACTGTTTATGTTGTTATGTCTATGAAATACACTTTTTAAAGACTATTCGTATCTATAAAATATTTTTTTATATTAATCTTTTTTTTTTTTCAATTATAATATATACTATATTTATTACATTGTTCATAGTAATGCAATTTATAAATATTGTTCATAGTAATGCAATTATTTCCCTTTATTTCTCTTAATTTGCTTCCACCAGAGGAAATACAAGTTTTAGACAAGGTTAGATGTATGTGATCAGAGGGCGGTGGTACACCACGCAGTTCCCCACCCTACCAGCGTTCTATCTATTGAACCAACACGCAAATATACGCTTAGCTCGCCTCTGGATGTCTGCTTCAGAAGAACAAAAAAAGATAAAAACAAGAACATGAAATATTCAGCGAAACAAAGTCGCAGGCCTTTCTATTTTAATATAATTAGTTCACTCATATTGTATTTTTTTCTGTGTCATTGTCCGCAAATACAGCGCTAGTCCTTCTTCGGGAAAAAAATCTGCTGTTTATTTGATATCTTGTGTATCATGACTTTATTGTTGCGCATAAGATATTGCAATGTCATTATGACCTATGACTTGGATTTTGGTGTAATGTTAGATGTAGAGTCTTAGAATTTGTATATACACTACAATGTCCCTATTTAGGTTTCGTCACTAATTACTCCAGAATCACAATTAATTTATAGATAGTGTTTACATAAATCCCCGATGTGATTGATTCATTGGTTGTGTACAAATAATTTTTTTTAAAAATAAATCAAACAGAATGTCGTCTGCTATTCGATGTTTGCTGATTGCGCCCCTTTGTGTGATACAACTTTTTTCTGATTTTCATTTTGTTGTCTTTAAATAATTCTGACGAAAAATGTGATTCTTTTAAGATTAAGATTTATAATGATGAAACAAATATTATTTAAATTATATATTTGATTGAATTGTGTACAAAATAAACCGTAGATAGTTTTTTTAAAAGAAATATATACATTTATTTTTGCATATATATTCACAAAAGTATATATATACATATATATATTTATATTGATAAAAGTAAATATTTTAACAGTAAATATTTTCTTACTGTTACTGAAATGGTTATTTGCACCGGGATATATCATATGTCGTAAAATAAACATTTTGATCACAACCGAGAAAACAACTCTGGCATGAATTTTCTTCAGCGTATCTAGAGTTATCTTCCCTGCACTACACTTCTTGCACTTTATACTAACGTTGCAATTAATTCCAAAAAAGTTCGATTTATACACACCTTAAAACAAAAGAATTAACAACAGGAAAAAAAAGGCTATAGCTTCCAGTGACCCTAACAACATCCAGGCACCCTCCTTCCTCCCTCCTTTGTTTGTGGCCATATACACTAAAGAGGAACCACCTTATTTTTTTCTGTTTATATTTAATACTCATTAATTAATTACCAAATATTTTGTACATAGTCATAATGCTAAGGCTGTGAGCAAATGTATTTTTTTTTCTTTTGTTTGTTTCGAATTTTTTTTTTATTTAAAGCTTTACCATTGCCTTATATCTTTGTGGTCAAGTGTTTTCCTTCAAAAATGTAGAACTAGCGAGAACTTCCCTGCGATTTTGCTGTTTCGAAGTGTTGCCAACTTTGTTTATGTAAATGATGTTTTCGCTTCAGTAAACGATCTTTCATCTCACCAATAATCAAAACACAATACACGCATTCTTTTGGTTTACCCAGAAAGTAATTATTATTTTTGAACAAACCTTTTAACCTTTCTGTTATACGTTATTTATTATTATTATGATGAACTGTATATCGAGGTATTTGAGTGTGTCAGCTCTGGAGTGCCACTTTAGTCCATTAAATAAATTTTAAGTCAATACTTGAAAATAATCTTTGCTATTTTTTTAAAAAATATCTCACCTATTTTGTATACATGCTTCAGCAGTAACGTCTATGTTCTAAAGCCTATAAGAGCGATGATGCTGGGAATTCTACTTTTTATAAAAACTATACATTTATTTTTATTTGGTCAAACTGTACGTTTGTTCATTATAAGCTCTAACATTTCACGTCTGTTGAGATTCTAGAAGCTTCTGATTGTTTGGCGTTGGGTGCTATGTTTATTTATTTTATTATATTTTTTTTTTTTTGAGTTACCTATGGTGCGCACTTATTGGCACTGTAGAAACACAAGATAGTGGTGCAACCTTCACTAGATGATTTCAGTTGTATTTTGAATTACTTTGATCACTTTGGGAGAAGTGTACTAGTAGACCCTTCTCTCCTGAAAATATAGTTTTCTACTTTCGATGAAATTCTAGTTTTCAACTGTTTATTTGTTTGTTTGTTTTTTTTTCTGGTTAGAACTCTCTGAGAATTAAAAGGAAATAAACAAAATGCGCTATCTGCAGCCAAAAAAAGCCTTTTGTTTTTTTAAGTGGTGTCAGTTTTTTTTAGTGTGATTTGTGTTTTTTTTTTACATTTTACATTGTTTGTTTATGTGCGTGTATGTGTTCGTGTGTTGTTATTAATATTATTGTACACGTATTAATGTCTTATCTTAAAAACTACAGACGTTCCTTTAAAACAGAAGGTAATTACGTTCTACACGTACCCTCGTTGTATACACTGCACGAAGTACCAAGAAATATCTAAAGAACGGAAAGTAAAAGTAGCACTGAAATAAGATGAAGGCATTGTCAAAAAAAAGTTTATTATTGTAGAAGTTGTATCTGTACATGTCTCATAATATGAATCTATACTTTACTTCCTCAAAAGTATGAAATCTAGCAAAGCAGAAACTAAACAAATTGTGCAATATAATGTATTAGCTTTGTAACTGTATTTCAATTGTTGAAGGGAATAGGGTCAACTCGGTTTGAAGATGTTAAATTTTATAAAGCTGTGCGTTAGTTGTTTACAAAGTGAAAATTTAGTATTTCTATAGACTTGAATGGTTCTATTGATGCCGAAGACCTACCTTGAGTTGTCTAGTGTGACAGGAGGAACAATAACATGATGCGTTTAAATGTTGAACGAATTCAGACAATTAGTCAATCAAATTAAAATGCTTTAAATGGTTAAATCATTGTCAACTGCCCTCAGTGCTGGGCTACACAAGCTATTGCCTGGGTCCCCCAATGGTTGGATGCCTCAAAATATTGTTACAGGAATCATTTCAATCATTTTAAAGAAGAAAAAAAATGGAATAAATGATACTATTTAGAGCTTAAATAATAACTTTAAGACACTGTGGCTGCTGGACCAGAGACTGGGGTTGTCATTCCTTTCTTATTTTGTTTGGGCTGTTGCCCTTTCTTCTCTTGTTTCGCTTTCTTCTGGGCGTTGCCAATTCTTTGGATGAAAGTTTTAATTTCCTAAAATTGAAAAAACGTGAGTTGACAAGGGTGTTTTTTTTTTTTTAATAACCGTGGATAAAGGCAAATAGTTTATAAATGTAGACACAGTGAATGTTTCGTAAATGTAGAATAAGGCAATACTTAATACATGTAAACATATAAGCAATACTATACAAATACAAACATGAAAAATACGTGGGTCATAGGTTCTTTTTATATGTGCTACACACACATACTAAACTACTATGTCTGTGATGTAAACTAAAAATTGACGAATAATCACAACACTAAAAATATAACACACAACACCAAGAACACAACACCAAGAACACAAAGACACAACACCAAGAATACAAAAACTAAACACTAAGAACACAACACACAACACCAAGAACACAAAACACAACACCAAGAACACAAAACACAACACTTAGAACACAGAATACAACACTAAGAACACAAAACGCAACACTAAGAACACAAAACGCAACACTGAGAACACAAAACTAAGACGGGGTCTCAGGTTTGAATCTCGCTGGAAGTCTGAATTTTTGGAATTTTTTATGACCAAACTCTAATGGGCAGCTAACTTTAGTTATGGACACCCTTTAAACACTAGCCATAGAAGCAGATGGACTTTACATCATCTGCCTTACAGTTCACAAGGTCTGAAAGAAGTCATTAATTTCCCTTGACAAGCCTAAGAGCTAGACTACAGCGTAAAGAAAAGGGACACAATTCATCATTTTACCTTTTCTTTCTTCTTTTTCTCTTTTTTGTCAGAAATAATGTCGACGAAGTTGTAAACATCCTGATTGTCTTGTGCAGAGTTCACTATGGAGATTATAGGCTGAAATACAAGAACACATCAATGATTGCACATTGATTTGGGTTTAAAACAAAGATTTAGTTTTTTTTAAAACATCTACTCAATCATTAACTCAGAGTTTCCCAAACTGTATTCCGTGAATCACTATTCAACGAGGCCTGAATAGATGTTCCACAAGGCCTGAATAGACGTTCCTCGAGGCCTGAATGGATGTTCCTAGAGGCCTGAATAGACGTTCCTCGAGGCCTGAATAGATGTTCCACGAGGCCTGAATAGATATTCCACGAGGCCTGAATAGATGTTCCACGAGGCCTGAATAAACGTTCCTCGAGGCCTGAATAGATGTTCCACGAGGCCTGAATAGATGTTCCACGAGGCCTGAATAAACGTTCCTCGAGGCCTGAATAGATGTTCCACGAGGCCTGAATAGACGTTCCTCGAGGCCTGAATAGATGTTCCACGAGGCCTGAATAGATGTTCCTCAAACTGTTGGACCTATGCATGAATTGATTGCTACTTAAATTAAGAAAAACAAAACATTTTTTTTCTGTAGCTCTTCTCAGTGACGACACATTGAATTATATAGTTGCAATATCACTTATGAATTTATACATAAAGAAACTATTCATGAATAGAATAAATGAGAAATGGACAAACTCTCATGTGAAAGATGACGACCATTCTAAGCTATCCCGACAAGATCAACGTCTAATCTTTCGCGTCAGAACCAGACACAACAGAATGAGACAACATCCGCACATGTAGAGTGTCACCAGAGAATGCTGACCACGTCTAGAGAAAATGCAATCTTTACTAAGAGGCCCAAACAAAACACTGGCCCCAAAACACCCCTATAGAAAGAAATTTATATGAAAATTATATGAATAGCTCCCTGATTTGGAAACCACTGCAAAGTTCATCTCATATATTGGTCTAGCCATCTGAACGCTTCCAACATTACAATGATAAATAATTAGAGTCACACAGTATTTCAAAACAAGTTTATGTTAACTTCTGCCTCCTTCAACTTGTTAGTGCGATGATTGATTTGCTTTATCTAGCAACAAACATTAAGTCTAGAATCATGTTTTATATCAATAGGTTGATCTCTTCGGGGACGCAATATCATCCAAATCATAATCATAGTGCTGAATTAAGACAACAAAAATAAATTTAAAATTATTGTTTTATTGACTCAATCTAAAACAAAACTAAGCTAAACAAGAAAGTTTGGAAGAATTCCATTAAAGTAAAAATTATGGAAAACATCAACATAAGAATAACATGCACTAGAGTAGTCATTGATTTGGCAGGGTTAGGGTTATCCGGCAGTTATAAATTTATTATAAATAATTATTCAAATCTTCATAAATATTTTAGTTCCAACAAGACACACAAAAAAAAGTTATTCTAATTTGAAACTAGTCATTATCAGATGCTTCTTTTAATTTATAGGATATTATTGCGATATAGACACAACTCTATATTGACAAAGTGAGATTTCAATTATAAAAGAAAAAGAACACTATGCATTGTTAAATGAATTATTATCTCCAAGTCCAAAGAGATTGCAGCGGTTCAGTGGAAACGCTGACCTGTGACCTACACACTAGTGTAGCAAGGAAGCAGTAAGGTAGCAGTAATCCAGGGTACGAGAATATACTTATACGTGAATATACTTACGTTTAGGTGTGACACAAAACAAATTTGTCCCTCAGCATGTATCATAGCTTTCATAAAATGGATGTCCAATGTATGTAATATCATTATTACCAAAAATATAATGTAAATAAGACAAACTAACAATGGGTGTTTAGTATAATTATGTACATAGCATAGTCTCCGGTGACTGATTTTTTGCTTTGATTTTGTTTATTTTAGGTGAGATTTTAATATTAAACCATCACTTGCCCCAGAGCAGCCAAGGGGGTTTTGCAGTTAAACTCCCCTGTTCTATAAAACAAAACAAACAAAAAATAATGCAAACGACAATCCCCTAATTCCAAGAACATAACTAAGGAAGATTTTGATTTTAAAACCCCCTCCGAAATTTACTTTGAATTCCCCTCTTCAATTTAAAAAAGCACACACAGAAAATGCTATGAGCGTAGCCCAAGGAGTTTTGAGTTTAAACCCCCTTTAGCGGGGTATAAAGCTAAAAATACCTCTTCAATATAAAAAAAAGCAAATTACACACTTAAAATTCTATGAGTGTAACCAAAGGGAGTTTTAAGTTTAACCCCCCCTTCAGCGGGGTTCGAATCGAAAAAGTACCTTTTCTATAAACCCCTTCATCGGGGTTTGATGCTAAAAAAATACCTCTTCAATATAAAAAGAGTGTAAATTACACACTAAATTTCTTTGAGCTTAGCAAAGCCTAAGGGGAGTTTTGAGTTTAAACCCCCTCTTCAAGATGGCTTTTTTTTTAGTCTAAAACCACTCCAGATGTTTTTGAGTTTAAAATCCCCCTACAGAGAGTTTTGAGGTTGAAAACTCCCTTTTCAATATTATTCTAAAGCAAACTACACTCACCAAATTCTATGAGCGTAGCTCAATGAGGTTTTGAATTTGTTAAAAAAAAACTCCAGAGATTTTTTAGTTTAAAACCCCACAACAGATGATTTTGCCGATAAAACTTCCCTTTTCGATATAAAATCTAAAGCAAGCTACTGTCACCTAATTCCAAGAGCGTAGCCAAGAGAGGTTACAAAATTTCTGCCAGTGGCTGGACTCCATTAATAAAGTGCAGTGGATAGTCATCTGCCGAAATTGAAAAAGACTAAATGTGGCTCAACAAAGATGGCTAAGACGGTCTTTAGGAGTCAGTTATAGGGATCGAGTCTCAATAAAGGAAATGCTTTGCCGAACTGGGAGTCGACCCCTTGGTAAGGTTGTGACAGAGCGTCACATGAAGTTTGCGGGACATGTTTTCCGACAAAAAGAATTACGCATAATAAGAGTTGCAATGACACGGAGGCCATTACGAGGAAATCGCAAACAGGAACATCCTAGTACAACTTCAGAGCAGGTGGGAAGAGGCTTCAGACATTGCCAGCGACAGATTTTTGTGAAAACAGCTTGCCGCCCAATGAGCCGAACGGCGCGGGAGGATCTAAGTCAGTAAGACCCCTCAACTCAAGAAAACATTAAGAAACTGGAACAGACACAAAATAGAGCAGTGAGATTCATAACAAACGAATATTCACATTTGACTAGAGTAACACTTTTAGTAAAAATCACTAAATTTGGAAAGCCTTCAGGACAGAAGACTCAAAAGTAAAGTAGCAATTATACATAAAACACTGAACCATAATCTTCAAATACAAAAACAAAATTTAATAAAATACTCAGAAAGACAAAAACGTAGAGGCACATTCCTCGTCCCATATGCTAGGACAAATTTGTACAAATGCTCCTTCTTCCCTAGTGCTATTAGAGCATGGAATGGGTTGCTGAGCTAGCCAGGAAAACCAGTGACTTGGCAGAATTTAAGTCATTGGTTAATATGCATGACTGAAGGCATGACGCGTAGGACGTAGTCATCTTCTTATTTTGAAGTAACCTCTGTATTATATAAGATAAGATAAGAATAGCACAGGTTTTAAAATTAAACTTTTAATAGCAGAATAATGCACTGTAGATACCTCAGAATATGCCTTTTTTTAGGCGTTCAATATCGAAAATAGTGCTTGGCGGCGGGGCTACGCTCGCAGCGCTCCCCCAGACTCCATTGCTGGTGAGGGCGGGGAGTCTACAAATTTTCCACTAACTCCAGGAAGAACTTATTCCAGGGTATAATAAACGTATTCCGAAAGAATGAAGAGTCAGAA